AGGAACTCACGTGTCTGACTATTTAAAACTGTTCTTTGCGTACGTTTGGTCATGTCAACGAAATCCGCAACAAAAGGCGTAAACAAAGTCCAAATTAACGAGCAAGGGTCGACAGTATTGCAGTATCAATATCCAAAACCCAAAGTCAGGTCAAAACTATATATTATCACAATCACAGTTGCTTTGCAACTGCTTTGTTTGGCATTGAGTTTTAACGCGAGTTTGCCGAAAGTAAAAGTTGTGCTAGCCAACGATCCTATTAGTGACGATCGTATTAGATTTCATTTTTAAAGAATTCAAATGTCAGATTTCATTTTAAAAAACAAATTCCGAATTGTTTCGTAAAATTATGCCATAAACATTCCATACATTTTATCAGCACGACACCATTGACAACAATGCACATCAATTAGCTCCTTCAAAGTATTTCTGAATTAATACGAAACTTAATGAGCGGACGAACGTCAATGTTCAATGTAAATTAATTTTTGTCAAAAAACTTGAAAATTGCCCAGAGGCTTAAGAACACGCCGTTCTGCCCGCTGCCCCGTCTGTCGCCATCGGGCGCATGTCAACGTTGCATCTATATCAAATTTTCTGTGCCTATTCTTTTTTATTCATATTAATTTTAAGCGCGCAGATTGTGGGACGCGAGTGGCGACTCCTAAAAGCAAAATAAAGAGAACGGACACTCTCCGCCCCTCCCTAATTTTAAATACTGCACCACGCCCCGCAAATTGCCGGTCACATTGACTGAACGACAACAAGGCCGCCGGCGAGCCGTTTTCGCGCGAAGACGGCTTTGATATTTGAATATAGTTTTCATTTACTAATTACGAAACTTGTACGTTAATATAAAACATCATTTTACGTTACTATTTATAATAGTCGTGAATTGTGCTGTGTACGGCTGTTTGTCATCATTTTCCGATAAATGAAACGAATGTAAAACAACTTATGTCTGGGACTCATTCAGTTATTGTTTTCTTCGTTTATTTACTGCAGAGTAATATATGTATGTATAAAAAATACAGATTTATTATATCAACATAATGAGACGCCATGACTTCGCGAATTTTCTATTCGTATTGCCGATAAATATTACGTAGGTAGTGAATATATCTAATTATTAACTAAACTTGGACAAGCAATTTCATGTACCTTAGTTACCTTACTTAAAAGTACATGTCCGAAATATAACATTTTAAGTGCTTTTAATATATTTTTGAAATAAATATACCTAATAGACATGTATAATTATTAGGATTCTATATTCTATTATGTAATTGAATCATAGATAATAGATTTGCGTTAGCATTTTCGCTATGTTGCCGCTCTGATCACGTAACGTAATAGTGCAAGAAAGTGATGGGTAACCCTGCCACTTCACGCACACATTTGCGCGTGTGTAGATAGCGCCTTGCTGTATGTAGTAGTAGTAGGTAAATAATTTTCGACTGTTGCATGGAGTGTCCGGGGTGTGGCGACAGTGTGATCGACTATATACGAAGTTATTTGTAAAATATCAACAACCTCGCACGACATATTACTGGCATCATAAACAACAACTTTTGTTCAATTACTTTTTACAAAACTTAAACAAAACGTTTAAGAGAGTAATGTGAGAATTGCGTTCCGGTTTTGAAGATGCTGGTGAAATTATAGGCACGTAGTCCCGTTACTTGAAGTCACAAAAAAAACATTTGACTGACATTTTTTAATTACAATTACATCAAAAAATTTAAATCAAAAACCAAGTCTTCCTGTGAGTGTTAGTGGTGTACATGATTCCAGTCAAATAGCGAATGCATTCCGGTGTCATTTCAAGGTTAGGTTGCCACTTTCGTCCGTGCAGCGGGTGCCCGATGTAGAGTGTGGTAGGGGTGAGTTACGTATAAGGTTCTTACCCCGTGAAGTGCATTCCATTATAAACAAAATGGTGAGGGGAAAGTCTCCCGGTCACGATGGGCTCAGCATAGAGCACCGAAAGTACGCTAGAGAGCACTTGCCGCAGGTGTTGGCCATGTTTTTCAACTCATGTTTGAGTCATAGTTACTTGCTCGATGATCTTATGTACACGGTGGTTGTACCAGTAATAAAGAACAAAACCGAAGATTCCTCTGACTTGTCTAACTACAGGCCCATATCTCTGGCTACTGTGATAGATAAGGTGTTGGATAGTCTGCTTGATAAACGCCTTGATAAAGTAATTAACTTACATGACAATCAATTCGGTTTCCGGCCTGGATTGTCCACAGAAAGCGCTATCCTGTGTCTCAAGCAGACTGTCCAACACTATACTACCCGTAAAACGCCTATATACGTGTGTTATCTGGACTTGTCAAAGGCGTTTGAACTAATTTCATATAAGATAAGATAAGATAAGATAAGATAAGATAAGATAAGATAAGATAAGATAAGATAAATTTATTTCAATATTACTTAATCTAATACAATTATAATGAAAACAATGTAATTGAAGATAAAATATTAAAATAAACAGTAATAAACAAAACAAAAAAAATCTAAATTATATAAAATAATCATGTCGTAATCATAATCAATATAACACTCTATGGCACAAGCTTGAGAGTGAGACTGGTTCACCATGGGAGTTGAGTGCAATTTTAAAATTCTGGTACAGCCACCAAAACAATACAGCGGGGCGGGTGCTCAATCGGATGTGTACAGGTTGGAGTGTGGAGTTAGGCAGGGGGGTTTGAGTTCGCCGCTGCTCTTCAATCTGTACTTGGACGGGCTGATGGGTGAGCTCAGAAGTAAGAAAATTGATTGTCATATTGATGGGGCTTGCGTTAATCATATATGTTACGCTGATGACATGGTGCTTTTGAGCCCATCTATCGGCGCCCTGCACAGGCTGCTAAAGATTTGTGAGTCTTATGCGGTGGCTCATGGGCTCAGATACAATGCGCTGAAGAGTGAGTGCACGGCATTTAAAGCAGGTACCTAAACGTATACCATAGTGCCTTCCATTGGTCTAGGCGGCACTCCTCTAAAGCAGACAAAACAATTTAAGTATCTGGGTCACTGGGTCACCGAGGACCTATACGATAATGCCGATGTGGAAAGGGAGCGCAGGTCGCTGGCTGTCCGTTGCAATATGTTGGCTCGGAGGTTTGCACGATGTACAGATGAAGTAAGGGTAATGCTTTTAAAAGCATATTGCCAGGCTTTTTACACGTGCAACCTTTGGGTCAGTTAGACGCGGCGGACGTAAGAAGCACTGCGCATCCAGTACAACAATGCGTTCAGGATGCTGTTACGACTTCCACCTTTCTGTAGCGCGTCAACCATGTTTGCTGAGAAACATGCCGACGATTTCTACACTATCATGCGAAAGTGTAGTGCATCGCTACTCCGTCACATGCGTCTCAGAACAGCATCCTGAGCACATTGGCGGAAAGCTTGGAGTCCCCAATGCTGGGGCGGTGGATGCGCTGGCACACTGCTGTCCTGACTTTGGCTGGTTTTATTTCATTATTTTAAACCTAATAAAAGCTTAGTATTTTTCTTTACTAACAAACGTTATGGATGAATGTAAGTCTGAAATAAATGGATTATTCTTATTACTTGGATCTTATCTGGTAGTTAAGTAGCATCTACTGGTTATATACTCGATGTGTGTAGGAAGTTCAAACGTGCAAGCGCCCTCGCCGACGACCCCTACCATCGCTCCTGCGTCTTGCATCGGATAGGTGTTTACGCTAACGCTTTCTTTTGTTACCGTACAGAATTATCATTAGAGCAATCTATTTAAATATACACATTTTGAATGAAAGTAAAATCTGATGTATTATTCAGTCATGGAACAAAAGTTATTTATAATGTCGTAAATGTAGCCCAAAGAGATTTTTTATGTCACTAAATGACGGGACGAACACGTCGTGACTGGTGGGAAGCTACACGTTTATCCATTGCAATTGCAGTGGCACTCAGAGCTTTAAATCGCAAAGACCCCTCAGGGGCACTGCCACTGCGCCCATCACCCTGAGACATAAGTTGACAAGTCCATATGCCTGTAATTTCACCAGCACCCTTACTTACCTTTCCAAATCGGAACACATTACCGCTTGGCAGCAGAAATAGGTAAGTACTTCCCTGGACGAAATCTTTCACTCTACAATCAGTAGAGCTATTATACAGCTATATACTTATTTTACAAATAACCCTCTATTCGGGTTAGTCTAAAAAATGCCTCTTCACTCTAGCCTAATGCTTTTCACTCACTCCAAATTGTGGTTTGTAGGGAAAGACAGACAACCGGAAATACATTCCACTTTGTTTACCGTACGCATTTAGTCCACCTTTCATTAAAAGGTACATCTGACTTTTTGCCGAATTGTAAGAAAATACAGTAAAGATAATTACTAGTTGAACGGCCCTTGATGCTAACTGTATTCAATCTTTTCATAGAGATTATCCTTGTCCGCAAGAGCAAACCGCACAGCCGAAATGTCTGTTCTTAACGCCCTTAATGTCGTCACATTCAGCCCATGTTGATTACACGGATCAGTCAGAAGGATCGTGATCTTTCGATCCCGGTAGGACGATTAGGGAAATGAATGATAAAGCCGTATAAATTATAGAGGGTGTAACAAAAATATCGTATAACTAAAAGTGGTCTACGTATGAAACAAGTATTTGCGTAATATGTTGAAGCAACGTGGGATCTTTAGCAAGTTACTTTACATTTAATGTTTAATATGCATAAGATTCTTTATATTGTAATTGAATTACAAATTGGTTTCTACTTGAACCATGAGCGAGTAAATATACTCTTTAAGACTGTTCCTGTTTTACAGTATGTCGCTTAATAGATGTCATCCCTTACGAACCATCTTCGATTCGAACTTGGAATTTTCTGATTTAGCTCTGCATTTATTTAGCTGTTTTTTTACTGAAATAAGCTTTTTATTTCACCACGTATATATGTATAACTTAATATTAACGAGACCTGGTTTCGTTTTTGAGAAACTGACCTGAAGGGACGGCTGTCTTGTATAGGCAGGTGCGGCTGGCGCAAGCGCAGGTCTAGCGACTAAAAGCCGCACACAAACGCCGCACTGCCGCAGTACTGCCGCCGCTTGCCGCGCGCACATCCCCACCACTGATACTGCGCCGATGCGGAGGAGCATGTCACCGGAGCGGAGACGGCCATCCTAGACAGAGATAGGAAACATACAATATTAAAAAAACTGAAGGCATATTTCCACACAACGAAGGCAGTTAGTAAACTGCCTCAGTGGCCAAACGGTTACCATGCTAGACTGCTACGCAGAAGTCCTGGCTTCGTATCCTAGGCCGCGAGAAATATCCCGTGATACAGGGTTTCCCTAGTGCGTGGCTATAAAAAAAAGTTACGATTCTGCTGGATGTAGACCTCCCCCAAAGAACGCCAGAAAGACCAGTCTTGTGCTGCTTGCTAACAATGGATTCCCACAATCTTCACCAGATATGGGTCCACCTTGTGGATGGTCTGCCTGTGCTGCGTCTGACGATATGCAGTCACCATAGTCGGCTATCTGTTCTACGAGCAATGTGCCCCGCCTTATGCCACTTAAGAGGGCGAGTTAGTGGCGTTAATTGATTTTAGGTATTCCATGCGCTCCGTGTACGTGTGCGTGTGGCATACGTTTATTTAAAGCCATGTGTAAACCCAAGCGACAAAACCTCCACATCCGACGGCTGAAGCAGGACTAGAGCGGTCAGGGGGGAAGCGTGGGGCGGACTGCGTGCGAATTTAGGTATTTCCTTCGTATTATTAAATAATAATAATAATAATAACGCACACACTCAACATAGCCCCGCACTAGGGAAACCCTGTGTCGCGGGTGCTATGGACACACACATAGACAACCACAAATTACACCCAAACTCACGAGAGAAATAAATGTAGGCCATATAAATATTTCTCCCGGCCCGGGAATCGAACCTGGGACCTCTGCGTGGCAGTCCGGCATGGTAACCGTTCGGCCACGGAGGCAGTCAATTTAAAATAAATATAATAAATAAAATTAAAACAAATACACATTTTGAAATGTACAGATTATGGGTACGTTACAGAAAAGATGTAGTTTTGTTATTAATCTGAAACTGTTGACCTTCCGTGAAGTATTTACATCGTACTAAGGGTTTGTTTTGTTTTTAGGGTTACCTTTCAGTAGACCGAAATGACATTTTCCAGAAATAACGTTTGCTTGAATTTTCATAACCTCGAAAATAATTTTGAGAGGAAAATGTTTTTTTCTTTTAAACCTATTTTAACCTAACCAAACCGAACCTTATCGGGTCTTTGCTATAAACATCCAACATGTCCTGAAAGAACAACGATTCCGTTATAATTCTGTTTTCGGTGTAATGAAAATTCGAAAAACGTAATTTCGGAAAAAAAAATTCTTTGTCTTTGTGATAAGTTACTGTTTTTTAGAGGTAACTTCGGATTTTTTTTCTATAGATGAAACTACAAATAACCGTATTTCTAAAGAGTACGATTTATAGAATGAATCCTTAAATATCTTACACCTTAATTTCATAACTAAATCTTTAGTAATAACGATACTGTAACGGATCAAACGAACGCAATTTCGCAATTACGTATCGCTGCCTCAGCGCTCTCTAAGTTTTGCAATTCTTTGGGCTACGTCGGTTATTCTAATTCTTTTACTGATATCCTCATTACTGATTCGATATCGCAGTGAAACTTCGAGCATAGCCGTTTCCATCCTGCCTTCCTTGTCATAACTATAGCATTTGTATTTTGGTAACTTTCGAGAAATTGACAACTCAAGATTTTTTCTTTTATTTCAAATATTTCCGACAACGTCCATGGTCGAGTGGCTTGCACTCTGGTTTTCATGGTGTCATCATCAATGAGGTACCGGGTTCGATCCCCAGCCGGATCAATGTAGAAGAGCTAACTTCTCTATATTGTCTCGGGTCTGGTTGTTTGTACAGTGGTTGTTTCCGATTTTCTTAACACAAGTGTTTTAGTTACTCACTTTGAGATCAGAGCAAGGCATGTGATGTTGTCTAATATTTATTAACTGACTTCAAAAAAGTAGGAGTCTAACAACGGCTAATTTGAACTTAGTGACTATCTATATTGTTAATATAGGGTGTATGTTGTATTAGTATGAATTCATAAAACCTATACATAACAAACATACCATATTTTACCCCAAATGCCTTATACTTTCTCAGCTCCGTCGTGGGCACTATAAATAAATTCCAAATCTCCTTTGTACCATGAGCAGTAAGCAAGATATAAACATTTTTATGCAAAGAAGTCCCTGAAGTGGCTTGAATATTACGTGTGTCGTAAAAAGCTGGTTCGTACCTACTGTAGACATTGCAACAAAAAACATAAACACGAAAATTTTAAAATGTTTTTCTTAAACAACAACAAAAACAGATTTTAGTATTTACAGTCGCTGGTGTCCGTGTGAATGTTTTTTATAGATATTATAAAGCGACGGGACGAACAAGTCGTGCGCCTGGTGATAAGCTACACGCCTGTCCATAGTGACTGTCCATGAGGTGAGTAGACGACATCGTCGAAGTTGCGGGATGTAGACGGGTGAGACTAGCACAGGATCACGGTGCATTCATCATTATGTGTCATTACACAAGGACGGGTGGCCAATACCCAGCAGTGGGTGTTGTCGGGCTGTGGATGATGATGATGAGTCACCAATATAGAGGTTACTTATGGTTTTCCTATATCTATGCTGATTGATAGAGTGTCGTACAGGGTAATATCCTAGGCCTCACGAGTTTCGTTATAGATGTAAAAACTTGGAATTGCCACCAGAGCACTTAGTTTTGCAAATTCGATTAGGAAGTTTTAAATAATGTTAAATTGCCTAGATTCTTTTGAAGTGGTGTAAGTATTAAGGTGTTTCACAACTTTCGGAACAGCAGCATTAATGTTAAGTTTACTATCTCATTAAAACTTGGCAAATAATTTAAGTTACGAGTAAATAAATTTTTCTTTAAAAAAAAATAACCTGAAAGTTTAGTCGACTTACGACTAAAAAATATAAAATAATATATCAAAATTAACATCTTACTTTTATTTAATAATAATAAATACAGGCCGCATTGTCAAAAAGTTCAAGCAGATGGAAGAGGACGAAGTAGGCTTTTATAGCACCCCCCGAAGGGGTTCCCGCCTTGTCGTGGCAGGGGGGGCTCTAGTAGCCGTGGTCGATTTCATCCCACGGTGAAGGTAAGAGGAACCCACGGGGCCGGCCGATGGTGGTAGGCTGGCCCGAGGAGGAGGGCGTTCCGCGCGGGGCTCGTCTGGTCAGCGGGACCGCGCGGATGCGCGAGGAGGAGGGTCGCGGGGGGGAGACGTGTCGGTGTGTCGTTGCCGTTCGTCCTGTCCTCCGCGACTCTGGCGGGGCTGCACCGCTTTCGACGATGCAGTGGCGGCGGGGCCGCGGGGGAAGAGACGTGTCGGTGTGTCGTTGCCGCTCGTCCTATCCTCCGCGGCCGAACGTGGGCGGTTGGCCCGTGGTGGGCGCTCCAAGGGACTCTCTTCGGAGAGTCCGCGCGGAAGCGCGTTAGGTGTTGCGGCGGAGCCTGCCATCAGATCCGCCGCGGGGGCTGGGGGAGCAGCCACTGAACTTCACAGTTGCCCAGCATAAAGGGGCCCGGGATCACTCACATTCGGAGTCGGGGGACCGATGTGTCTCCCTTCTCGAGGAGGGGCTGCGCAGGGCGCGGCCAGCCGCTGGTGGGGGCGCGGACGAGTGCAACAGCGTACCCGTACCCCCACCTACAACGGAGAGGAAGAACACTCCGGGGATTTAGTGCGGTCGGGTCAGTTTTATAGCACACCCTCCACATAGACATACGCCATATTGTATTGACTTGATTTCGATTCGTAAGTGCAGTTCAAACCAGCCAACAGACTGAGAAAATTAAAGTAAATAATAATAATAACGCACACATTCCTGGACCCGCTAGGAAAACCCTGTATCGAGGGTGCCATGATCACGCACATAGATAACCACAAATTACACCCAAACTCACGAGAGAAATAAATGTACGCCATACAAATATTTTTGTCAGCCCGGAAATTGAACCCTGGAGCTCTGCGTGGCAGACTACTAAGTAAAGAACTAGTACTTTTAAGGTATAGAGACCGATACAGAGCAATCCCAATTTGAGCTTTGCAACAATATTAATAAATAGTTTATTGAATGTCCAGGACGTTTCACCATCATGATATTCAATTATTTTTTGTGAAACTACAGCACTAGTTTGGTGTAGTTATTAATACCAAGATCGAACACTCAGAAAAGATCCGACTGAATTCCAACCAGCGTGACCTAGCAAACCGTGCCAGACGCTATGCCAACTAAGCCACGGAACGTTACCAGACGACCTCAAAAATTATTCTGTGTTTGTTGCAGATCTTTGTTTTTGGTTTTTAACGACTTTTTTCGCCGTAGCGCCATCTGTGAGAAATCTATTTCTTTACTCAGCCAGGTACCTTTACAGGAACCAGCGACTGGCTAGAGATGTCGCTATAATAATTGTAATTAAGTTCATTGAATGTCAGAATGTTTCACTATCATGATATTCAATTATTTTTGTGAAATTACTCCACTAGCCAGTCATGCGTTTGTTGGTACGTTACACGTCTGCCCATAACAGTTGAAGAGTCACTCAGAACTATAATTGCAAAAAACTGGGACGTAATGTTGACAAAAATCAAAATGATCTTTATTTCATTGGTAAGAATATTACATTTGAAATAGTCACATTGGTTGAACTCTACGGCTCATTCATAAGGCCCTGTGATGAATTGCACCCAAACTCACGAGAGAAATAAATGTACGCCATACAAATATTTTTGTCAGCCCGGAAATTGAACCCTGGACCTTTGCGTGGCAGTCCAGATAACTGTCCGTGGTAACTTCGGCCACGGAGGCCGTTATTTTATCATGATCGTAATTTAGTCACAGGTAACAAATGTGCCTTATAGCGTAAGTAGTATTTTTACTCTTTACACGCTAAACACAAACAGTGCGAGTCGAGTGCGTGTCGGGTCGGGTCGGTGCATCCGACACGCGCCCGCAGTCGCTCTCTGTGAGTTTCACGCTTTACGCTAAAGAGCGTTCACCATCAACATGAGTGAAAATAAATCAAT